TTCGACACGTGAGAAAAATTCATAATTCTCTTGCTGATAATTATACAATCATCTATCATAAAGCCTACTATATTTAGTTTTTATAAAACTATAATTAACACCAAAAACTGCTCCCATTTAAATTCGGAATTATCAGTAAAAAAAATAAAAAATGAATCCATTTATGATTGGTAGACATAAATGGTTCATAGGTTTGTGGCATGTCTTTTAATAATTCTCACAAATTCCAATCCTTTGGAAAATTCCGAAATTACAAAAAGTTGAAATTGATTGTCCACATTATGAGGAATGAGGCTTAGAGAATTCGACACTGACAAAACATACTGAAGGCAAATGGAACAAGAAAATAGAGAGTTACTTTACGAGCTTGTGCAAATGCATGTCAGAGCAGGCTGTGGAAGGAATAGTAAAAAGACTGACATTGCTCAGCACTACAAAGGTTAGGAAGTTGTGGAGAGCCATGATCATCTACCTAGCAAGCCTATGTAAATGGATGTCAGAGCAGGGAGAGATAGTAAAGGCAAACATTGCTCAGTGTTACAAAGAATAGGAAGTTGTGGAGAGCCATGATGATCACATATCTATCAAGCCTCTGTAAATGGATGTCATAGCAGGGAGTGGGAGGGGTAGTAAAAAGACAAACATTTCTACAAAGGATAGGAAGTTGTGGGGAGCCATAATTACATACCTAACAAGCCTCTGTAAATGGATATCGTAGCATGGAGTGGGAGGAATAGTAAAAAGACAACCATTTCTATGAGCTACAAAAGATAGGAAGTTATGGAGAGCCATTATCACCTACCTAACACTTTTGTATAAATAAATTTCAGAGCAGAAAGTGGGAGGGATAGTAAAAAGACGAACATTGCTCAGAGCTACAAATAATAGGAAGTTGTGGAGGGTCATGAACACCTACCTAAGAAGCCTGTGTAAATGGATGTCAGAGCAGGGTGTGGGAGGGATAGTAAAAAGACAAAAATAGGTTGTCATCACGAGTAAAAGCCCAAGATGCGAGCTATGAATTGAAGATCTCATAATCAAAGTGTTTTATAGAGGATAGAAAATGTGACATCAAAAGATAAAGGCATATTTGTAATAGCAAAAGATGCCTTCCAGAAACTAAGTAAAGGAAAAACAGGAAAATTTCATTAGAAACAAGAGGAGTACTGAACTGCTATGCAATATCAGTTTTCCAATATGGCAGTGAATACTGGACAGATTCCTCACAGATGAAGAGAAAACATGAGTCAACAAAAGTGTGATCCTACAGAAAGATGCTGAGAATACCATAAGAACATAAATAATCAAAGTCCACAGATGTTTCTTTAACTGTGATTTGCCATGCATTCTTGGGAAAGGTAATGGAGGGGTTTCCTGTTGCTTTTTTCATGGTTTGGAACATAGTTTTCCTTCTTTTAGACTGGTTACGAACCAAAGGACCTCTTACTATTTACCTATAGAGGAGAAGAGATTTATTCTATTATTATTATTATTTTTTTTATCTATCTTAATCATTTCACCCCAAGCAAGGCAATAATACCACTAAGACGCAAGGACTTAATGGGAGTGAAAAGAGGAGAATGTTTTAGCAAGGAGAAAAGACAATAAAGGAATAGGATTCAGGAAGAGAAATAGATGGTGATTGATGTTGTATTTAAATTTTTGAAGATTTTCAGTGGCAAATCCAAAAGCAGATTGGAATAGCGAAAGATGCCTTCCAAAAGTTCAACAAAGTATTAAGAAACAGAAAAATGTTGTTAGAAACAAAGAAAAAAGTCCTGGATTGTTATATCTGTCCTCCTACATATTAGACAGTCTCTTCACAGATGAAGAAGAGACTTGAGGTAAGAAAAATGTGGTTCTGCAGAAGAATGCTGAGAATACCATGGACTGAACATGTGAGCAATAGGGAAATTTTGGGGAAAATGGAAAAAAAAATACTTATACATAGAATTAGAAAGAGACAAATGAAATCACCAAGGTACACTATGAGGAAAGAGGGCTTAGAAAATCTACCATTCACAGGTCATATTGAAGTCAAGAGGGACAGAAGAAAGCAGTGAATAATGTACCTAAATTGCTTGTCTAAATGGTTGGCAAAACAGGAATAAGGAGAGATAGCAAAAAGAAAACCATTGCTAAGATGCAAGGACATACAGGAAGTGAAAAGAGGATGAGAATGTTTTAGCAAGCAGAAAGGACAATAAAAGAACAGGATGGTGATTGATGTTGTATTTAAAATTTGAAGATTTTAAGCAACAATTTCCAATCAAATCTGGCATTAATTATAAAAATTTAGTGTTAATTATAGATTTATAAAATCTTAGTCTTGTTGCTTTCATGTTAGAAGACAGAATATATAATTATCAGCAAGAGTAAAACCCTAAAATGCAAGCTAATGAATTGAAGATGTCAATCAAATAAATAGGAAAAGATTAAATATCTGGGAAGTGTTTAATAGAGGATAGAAAATGTGACATCAAAAGCTAAAGGCAGATATGTAATAGCAAAAGGTGCCTTCCAGAAACTAAGTAAAGGAAAAACAGGAAAATTTCATTAGAAACAAAGAAAAGTGCTCAACTGCTATGCAATATCAGTCATATATGGTAGCGAATTATATTTCATTATAGTTTACATATTTTTTAAAGCTTGTAAATATAAAATTACTCTTGTAAATAAGAAAATAAACAAATAGTTTTTAACATCTTTGTTGTTAATTCTCAAGAATAAAGAAAATGTATAAATCCAATTGCATGTGTTTGTGTCTTATTAAAATTCTTATCATCGCTTTTTAAAACAATAATCATTGCCGAAGGAGTCAAAAGTATATACAGTAATAGCGGTGTTAAGGGAATAACTGTCCTTTTGACAACATATTTTGCGGACACAAAGGTTAAACGTTGCCACATTTTGGTCGTCAGCACTCAAAAACCTTCTCGACCTCAAAGACTACTAAAAACAACAATTTGTTAATTTGTTTGCTTATGTACATTGGATAATTTTGATAGAATCGAACTATTTACGTTATGAACGTGTACAATGGAAAATGTATAGTTCATTAGATATTTTTAAACATTTGTTAAGGATTTTACTGAACTGTTACGTAATATCAATTCTACTATATGGCAGTGAATGCTTGACAATCTCCTCACAGATGAAGAAGAGACTTGAAGCAACAGAAATGAGGTTCTATAGAAGGATGCAGAGAATACCATGGACTGAATATGTGAGCAACGACAAAGTTTTAGAGAAAATGGAAACAAAAAAGGACACTTATATTTAACAACAGAAGGAGACAGTTGAAATTTACATACCTAGGAAAGAAGGCTTGGGAAATTTGATACTCACAGAACAGCTTGCAGGCAAGAGGATAAAAAACAACAACAATGAATTACCTACCTAACTAGCTTGAGTAAATGGTTGGCGGAACAATGTTTAGGAGAGAAAACAAGACAAAATTTATTAAGAGTGACAAAGGACAGAAAATAGTGGAGAGCCATGATCGTCAAATCCCCGATACATAGAAGAAGAATATTAACATTAAGTTTCTTTTGATAGAATATAATTATGTTATGAACGTATGCAAAAGAATAAATGTATAGTTCATTAGATTTTAGATATATTTGATATCTTTAAATATTTTTTAAGGATTTTACTGAACTGTTATGTAATATCCTATATGCTTGATAATCTCCTCAGAGATGAAGACATTTGAATCAACAGAAGTGTGGTTCTACAGAAGGATGCTGAGAATACCATGGAATGATGAAAATAAAAAGGACACTTATACTTAACACCAGAAGGAGATAGTTGAAATTTATACAGCACATACCGAGGAAAGAAAACTTGGAAAATTTGATACTCACAGGACAGCTTGCAGGCAAGAAGGACAGAGGAAAACAATGTAGTACCTACCTAACAAGGTTGAATAAATGGATGGTGGAACAAGGTTTAGGAGGGAGATCAAAAAGATACAATTTATTAAATGATACAAAGGAGAGAAAATAGTGGAGAGCCATGATCGCCGAAGCCCCGAAGTGACACGATACATAGAAGAAGAAGAATATTAACATTACGGTTGGTTTGATATGAATATAATTACAGTTTATATTATTAATTCTCTGTTACTTAGTTTCATTTTTTTTGTTTTTATAGACAATTCTATGAGAGTAGTCTCCACTTATTTAATTTCAAATAATTATAATATAAATTTTATCAATAAAAAGTGACGCGACAACGAGCTTAAAGGCCACCTTCAACGTCTTATAAGCTATTAATAAATAAAAAAAAAAAAATTTCCAATATTGATAATGACAGAAAAGAAAAATGGCAGATTTTTTTCGATTAACGTAGGATTTGACATGTTTGTAGAACCAAAGATTTGAGAAAAAAGAAACAAAAACAAAAAAAAAACAAACAACAAAAACAAACAAAAACAAACAAAAACCAAAAATAAATATGAAAATAAAGAAAACTAATGAAAAAGACTTCGATAATCTTCACCATTCATCATTCTGGCAGGATTTTCCTTCCTTGTCTCATATTTTCAAGTCGTTTTCGCCACTTTCCTCAGCTTATATCTTCGCAGCCATTTCTGTCAAATTTTACGTCGCCGCTCAAACCGAAATGATAAAAACTTAATAACATACGACGTTGGACCCGTGTTACAAAAGCTGTTGTTTTAATAGACATTTGGGTTAAGATTAGGGGGTATAAGGCGACTGATTGTAGGGGAGATCGGATTAAGTAAAAGGGAAATCAAGATAAGTAAATATGAATGCATTTCGAACGAAGAAGAAAAAGAGAAGCGTGAAGAGAAAGAAATGATAGGGAGGGGTAAAGAGAAACAGAGAAGAGGAAAATAAAAAAAAACCTGGGAGAGGTAAAGAAGCAATAGGGAGTTTTAAACAAAAGGGAATTTAAAAAGCAATAGGGAGGTAATTTACAATACTTTTTTTTAAATCTCAATAGGGGAGAGGTAAAAAAAGCAGTTAGGGAGATTAAAGAAGCAATAGGGAGAGGTAAAGAAGCAATAGGGAGAGGTAAAGAAAAAAAATTGTAAAACGGGTAAAAAGATAAAAAAGCGGGAAATGAGATAACGTGGGATAAAGGGAAAATAAAGAAAGAGTGATAAAAAAAGAAGCGGGAAGAAAAAGAAGGAAGTGGGAGGGGTAAAGAGAAAAAAAGAAAGAAGGAAAAAAGAAGCAGTAAGATAAAGAAACAATAGTGAGGGGTAAAGAGAAAAAGGAATGTGGGATAAAAAGAAGCGGAAAGAGAAAGAAGGATAGGGAGGGGTAAAGAGGAAAAAGAATGGGGGACAAAAAGAACAGGAAGATAAAGAAACAATAGGGAGGGGTAAAATGAAAGAAAAAAAGGACAAAAAGAAGCGGGAAGATAAAGAAGCAAGAGAGAAGAGTAAAGAGGAAAAAAGATAGAGGGAGGAGAAAAAGAAGCAGGAAGATAAAGAAACAATAGGGAGGGATAAAGAAAAAAGAAGCGGATAGAGAAAGAAGAAAGAGGGCGGTGTAAAGAGGAAAAAGAAAGAGGGAAAAATGTAGCAGGAAGATAAGGTAACAATAGGGAGGCGTAAAGAGAAAAAAAAAGAAAGTGGCATAGAAAAAGAAGGAGTAAAGATAAAACGAAAAAGGAATGAAAAAGAAGTCTGATAGAGAGAAAAAAATCGTGTTGTAAATCGAAAACGGGAAGATAATAATGATAGTCTGTTTTTGTTGCATGAAAAATTTCAAAGAAACGACTAACTCGTGTATACGAGACGCGGAAGCGAAAATCGCGTCGCAGCTCGTGACGTCACACATGACCACGCGAGAGTGAAAACGAGAAATATTAATTATTGTTTCGTCCGTGTATTGGTTGATATATTGAAAAGTAATTGTCATCTTTGATAATGGCTTATGTTCCCTGAAAGCTTAGATTGGATTTAAATATGTATCAATATGGTGATTTCCTTTCGTCTTTCAATGATAATGTTATTAAGCTTATCAGACAATATGAAAGGAACTCACTTAAATTAGACAAAATTTGTCTATATTATTTAATGAAACATGCATCAATGAAAAATTGCTGCCTAAATATACACAATATATATATATATATATATATATATGTTGATCGGATATAGTTTTGAAATTGTCGGCGAAATGTTGCTGATAATAAAGTTAGATATTTAAAAAATTTTTTATAATAATTAATTTGCTATTTTTGGTTTGTTTAATAGGGGTGATGTATTTTTCTATAATCTCCCTAAAGGCGAATTCGTCTTGTTTGTTAATTTTATGTAACTTGTGACGATAAAATATATTTATGTCTGTTGTGGCCTGTTTAGGGACCAGCAAGAAAGACACGGAAGACGAAGGTAGGTTGAAAAAAGTATATTGAAGATATATACAAAACAATAGGGTTAGTAATAAGTAGATTATATTACGAATACTACTCCCTCCACTTCCACTTTCTTCTTCCTATCCGACCCTAGCAGTTTGTATTTATGAGAGGAGGAAGAGTTCATTCTACTGTAGGAGGGTTTACCACAACAATGTCATTGCTATTCTCAGTGTGAACGATCTTAATGACTGTTAGCTTTTAAAGGAACAATGCAACTAAATACAATTGCTTCTTTCAAAACTAAGCCATAATGAGACATTGTCAAAAATGAATGAAAAAACAACTAAGGATGATGAGAAAAATGTTCAAAATCGGAATTTCTGGAAATTCCGAGGTTCTGCCTCAAAGAAAAATAATAATGAATTTAAACACTTTCGGGAAAGCGTCCCGGGTGAGACGATAAACTACATCCGGTAGCAAGGTCTCTGATCAGGAGGTTTTGAGGAGCATGGAACAATCTCTTAATTGCTGGTGTTCCCAGGTCCACCATGACCCAGGGTGGTAACACCTGTTAAGGCACCAGCTATGGGTAAATAGTTAACCCCCAAACTGGTCTCAAAACGTGTAAAAATAGGTTTTAATACCAGCAATGAATTTTTGAAGAACAAATTGTTACCAGCTATACATTATTACCAGCAATACATTTTTGAAAAAAAATATTACCAGCAATAAAAATCTTGTCGGCATTAAATAACCCGTTGAAGTTGATATGCCGTAAAACAAGACAAACCAAACCGATAGATAGATAGATATATAGATGAAAAATATTACCAACAATAAAAATCTTGTCAGCATTAAATAACCCATTGAGGTTAATATGTCATAAAACAAAAACCAATTATCATTTAGTATAATTGTTCTTTCGATTAATTTTCATTCAAACAATTTACAAATCGAATAAATGTTTACTCGAACAATTTTCTCGATACGGATAGATATATATATATATATATATATATATATATATATATATATATATATATATATATATATATATATATATATATAGAGAGAGAGAGAGAGAGAGAGAGATGAAGGGACCAAGAGAGACAGATAGACATGAATAGACCAAGATAGATAGATAAAAAAATATTACCAGCAATAAAAATCTTGTCGGCATTAAATAACCCATTGTGGCTGATATGCCGTAAAAAAACAAAAAAACAAACAAACAAACAAACCAAATTAAACCAAACCAATATATACTGAGATAGATAGATATTAATAGACTGTGACAGACAGACAGACAAACAGATAGATAGTAGATATTACCAGCAATAAAAATCTTGTCGGCATTAAATAACCCATTGAGGTTGATATACCGTAAAACAAAAACCAAACCAAATCTTTTGGAAAAAAAAAAAAAAAATTTCCTCCGTTAGTGATTGTTGAGAATAAAAACAGTCGAAAAAAGGTTTCAAATGTCAATATAAGAAAGCTGCTGATTGAAATACTTTCATTTTAAAGTGCGCAAATATAGTCTATATTATCCCGCTCTAAATGAAAAAAAAATCCTTCGCGGTTTTTCTATTTTATTCATAAAGTTTATGAAAACATTGGTCATATATTTCTGAGACGTTTTTCATTTGATGAGTTGACAGCGCTGTAAGGACACCTGGAAATTTGGTTTGTCACACAGATCGATGTCACCACTGGTGATAAAGCATTATACGCTCACATCCACTGTTTAGTCTCCGTTTAAGCAGGCATCTATGAATATCAATGAGTGAATTTTTTTTCCATATGGAGAAATTCAAAGCTACGCATCTGCTTCGTTCATATTTTTATATATGACGTCATTTTACCAGATTTCAATGCACAACAAAGGAAAGAATTATGTGTTAATAGCAGGAACATTCAAGCTCTGCTGCTATGCTATCGACACTCGCCTCTGACGACGTAGGCCAACATTATAAAAGAGGAAGCATTGCTTTCGGAGCAACACGCGTATTTTCATTGCCTGTAGTGACCCTTACGAAATAAATTAAATACAAAAGAAATACCTTTCTGGTATGCTTACTTTTTGAGTACTAAATTTCAACTAATACAAGGCTCGAGAGCTACCCAAGGTATAGAATAATTGTAAAAACGATAATGCTGAAACAGTTATATATAAATAACAGAGAAGAGAAATTATAGGAATAAGGTGGGAAGATCATCTTCATTTGAACAGATCAATATTGAGATTTTCATGGAAGCACCCACACGGGAGTAGGTTTCACAAAGCTGGGGGAAAAGCTGTGAGTGTAAATGGGGGTGATTTGACTATGGAAGGGACATGGAACAGTTCTAACTGCGAAGGTATGAACTGGTGGAATTCAATGGAGTCCATCTGAACATTTTCCATACAAACAGCAGGTGTTAGTGTTGGTTGAAATATTAAAAATAAATCTTTTTCTTCAAACAGTTTTTGAGGTAATTAAACTTCTCATATCCAATAGCGTTCTGGGCACCTCGACGCGGCGCAATGTTTAGCAAGCCTGTCTCGTTAGATCAATTACAGCTGAGTAGTGGATCTGATCCTCACTGGGTGCCCCAAACATTCGGCCTTGTGCCACATCTAAGCTACATTTAGAAAATCACGTTAGGGTACCTTGACGTAGTGTAATGGTTAGCGAGCTTGTCGCGTTAGAACAATTACGAGCGAGTAGTGAGTTCGATCCTCACTGGGTGCAACAACCTTTTGGCCTTGTGCCACACTACACTACGCTTGGAAAGTACCCTATTGAATATATCTCCTAACTCTTTAATATTGATGGGAACTTAATTCTAAACATTTTGTTTTTGTTAGTGTGGAATATTTTTGTTCACCACTGCTGTAGCCAGGTATTGAACTCCTAATTCTTTGAGTCAAGTCACTGGATCCAACTGACGTTTTTATCCACTATGCCATGCGTCCTCAAGGACAAAAACTTGGAGGGTTGAATTGAAGAGAGATAACTGAGACATCCGAAAGAGGCATGGCACGTGGAACTAGAACAGTCTAACCCGGTTGGACGAAATAAAGGGCTCAGTTCGAAATTCCAGTCACCTGAAAAAGGCCGAAACGTAGAACGACCAAAACGTCGTGAATATGGCAATAAAGATGAGGACAACAGTGCGAACATTGTAAATAATGTAAACAGAAAGATTCGTTTAATTTTATCCAAAGGTACCACTGACTGTTTGCTCAATTTAAATTCTAATAAGAAAACAGCTAATATTACCATTACTATGAGATTCGAGCAAAGTGAGATATTCACTAACCCCCCCCCCCCACGCAGTCGGATGCGGCACAAGGCTAAGTTTATAGTGGGGTATCCGTGCCCGTAGGCTCGGGCAAAAATTCCCCGTAGACCCCGTAAAAACGATCTCGGGTAGTTGTCTACCACCCCAGACGAGAGACTGCCCTTCAGCACAGCCTCGTCTGGGATCCTCTCTTCCCGCAGGCAGACAGTTTGACAAGCACACTTCCAAAGTAATCCGGATAGGTATCGAGCAAATTGACATGAAACGGAATTATTGCTGCAATAATGACTAATCTGGCACAAGGTCACATTAAAGGAGTATCTCCCAGGAATCTAAATCACAGCATGAGTGAACTGGCTTGTGAAATAAGCATGTAAGACATCGCGCTACAGTAGGCACCCACGAAAAAAAAAAAAGGAGGAAAAAAAAACAGAAAACGAAAAAAAAAAGTGGATGTTATTTTCTGAATTCCTTTTGAGTCATTCGGGTGGAAAGTTTGGCGCCGGCAAAACTGCAGGAAAGTGATTGTCGGTTTCTTGAAAGCGAATTCTTTGTATTTTATTGATAATCATTTCTGATGATAATTGACGTTTATGAGTTAATAAATTTAGGAATCGAATCAATATATATATATATATATATATATATATATTTAAAGATTTATGTACTAATACGTGCGTGTGTATGCAGGCGTGTCTGAAACACGATTAGTATGATTGTAGAAGTATTTGTTCATTATCTATCTCATTGTATTAATATCTATTTATTCTATCTATTAACAATAGTATGTTCATCTCTCTCTCTATATATATATATATGTGTGTGTGTGTGTGTATGTGTGTTTACCCGAGTCTATTCATATCTATCTGTCTATCTATGCGTGTTTACCTGAGTCTGCTCATATCTAAGTAAGTTAAAATGATTGTGTATATATATATATATATATATATATATATATATATATATATATATGTTTACCCGAGTCTGTTCATATCTATCTATCTATGTATGTGTTTACCTGCTTGTGTTCATATCTAAGTAAAGTAAAATGTATGGATCTATCAATCTATTTATCTATCTTAGTATATTCAAATCTATCTATCTGTAAAAGCACACTGAGAGAGAGAGAGAGAGAGAGAGAGAGAGAGAGAGAGAGAGAGAGAGAGAGAGAGGCTGCCATAGAATAAGAATGAATTTCAGTGACTATAATCCCGAATGTCATTTTGTTGCAGATAAAGCGAGACTGAATGCTTGATTCATTTCTTTTTCCCTGCAATGTATCCAAATGGACGTGCTAAAAAATCCTCCACCGAGTCGTTTCCCAAAATCTGACTAAGTGACCAAACATAAGATTTTTTTAAAATCCCTTTACTGTATCTAATCGTGTTAATAAGTTCTCTACCCAGCCAAGAAACTCTTTTCAGCAAAACATGATATTCATATTTTGTGAAGCGAATTGAACCAAGAACATTACACACACACACATAGCAATTAATTCAATATACCAACAATCCTTCAGTAGTAACCGTGAAACTAAGAGTTGTTCTGGAGGTTAGCATTAGACATGCTGACAGACGACAGAAAAGGTAAATTTGCCACTAGCTTCTTACAGCAATTCTGCCTTCTTAGAAAAATCATCCGTTGGTACAATGTGGGATATTTAAAAAGAGCAGCTATAGAAACAAAAACGATGAGTAAGATCGGCTGAGATGTGCGTCTGGACATATCGGAGGCCAGAAAATTGAAAAAACTGAAAAGTTTCAAATTTAGACTTCCTACGTTTTCAGCGTTTCCCAAGATGCATCATTATAAACGGAATTCCCTCCGACCAAACGTAATTCTACACATAATTCCATTAATAAGAACATTACATTAGTCGAATTAAGTCTTTTTTAGAGCAGCTGTCTCCGTCCACGGACCGGTTCCGGAAAATGGACCATTTGTTACCTGGTTGCATAGAAAGAAGAAAAACATTTCTCTTCCATTTAGTTAACTATCGCGGTCTTGTTTATCGTGTTTTGCAATGCGCATGACCGACACAGATACCAGACCACCACTGGTCCACGAAAAGAAAAAAAAATGGCTTGCATGACACCGGTACGTGGTGACAAAAAGTTGGAGACCGTTGTTTTACAGAATGAAACTCGTTAGATAGTATTTTTTCCTGCACTGTCATTCAATTACCTAATATATTTTAAACATGTTGCTTTTCCAAGCGTAGTTTAGATGTGGCACAAGGCCGAAAGTATGGCGCACCCGGTGAGGATCTCATTTTTTAGCTAAGACAATACTTGAGAAACAGAAATTAAAACAAATATTGGCAAAAATTTAAATAAAATTTTAAATTAAATTATATAAAAACTAAATGGTATATAACCATTGCTTTTTTTTAAGCAAGGAAGTAAAGCCACTAAGACAAGGAGTTACAGGGTGTGCAAGAATTAGGAACAAACATTAATAATGAGCGGGAAGAGGAAAGAGTAATCAGGTAGACAGTAGATAGCGATTGACATTACATTTAAGTTTTTGCAGATTGAAGTTGACTGGAAATTATGGAACCAGAAGAGAGTTCCACAAGCGAGAAGTGAGTGCGAGAGAAGGAACTATTAGCATAGAACTTACAGCTACATATAGCCAGCTCAACTGTAAATTGATGATATCTAGATGCCAGTCTAGTACCGAGCTTAAATTAAAAAAAAAACTCTAGGTAACATAGCGAAAAGCAATATTTATTCTGTTAAATACACAGAAATGTGGCAAATGGCCGAAGGGAGGATTGGGGAAAGGATGGTATTCTTCTGTCTTAACTATAGATTAAGCTAGCCACAAACACTGACCCAATCGTACAAACAATATTCCTTACACCAAAACAACACATTCATACGTAATTTTCTTACTACATTCACCATAATACCTCATTGTCTCTATGAAAATACTAACTAGTCATCACATTTACAATTCATTATCTGTGGAGGGAGGGGAATAAAACAGCAATTCTAAAGTCGAGCGCCAATGAGTACCATAGCAAAGAGCGATATTTATTCTGTTCTCTACAGAAATGTGACACAAGGCCGAAATGGGGATTGGGGAAAGGATGGTCTTCTTCTGTCTTAACTATAACTTAGCTAGCCGCAAACACTGACCCAATCGTACGAACAATATTCCTTACACCAAAACAACACATTCATACGTTCCTTTCTTACTACAACCACCATAATACCTCTTTGTCTCTATAAAAGTACTAACTAGTCTCCATATTTACAATTCATTGTCTGTGTGGGGAGAGGAATAAAACATTTCTAAAAAACTAGCTCCAATGAGTACCATAGCGAAGAGCTCATTCTAAAAATTACCATGAAAGTATGTATAGAAAAGACAGAGAGGCAACCTTATGGTGGTGGGAAAGTGACTGAAGCCGAGCTGCCAGATCAGGACCAATAATATTGTTGATTCTCTTCTGGATTTTATTAAAGAGCTCCATGTAAATAGCAGGAACACCGAACTATATATGGCAACGATATTCTAAGCTTGGGCGAAAGATAGATTTATAGATTTGCTATTATAAATATTCCCTATTGTCTTTAGCAATACGCGATTTACTTTTCTTATCAAAACTTTCACTTGTTCAGTTTTATTTTTCTTTCTTTAATCGCTATATTTACATTTTATTTTAACACATTTCCTGTGTGCAAATCCCATTGATTTGATTACAATTGTATTTTTTTATTAATTGTAAGAATATTTCAAATCGATTGCAGTGTTTTGGTTTGTAGGATTGCCATGGTAACGCATTTTCTTTAGATTTTTCAATTGTTTTGAAAATGCTTACGTAAAGTAGCGAAAAGTCACACGTAAATTAAAAAGAAATACTCATTTCAACCTTCAAATGGTTTAGCGTCTTGGGTATGACGATAAACTGCATCCGCGTCCTGGGTATGACGATAAACTACATCCGGCAGCAAACCGTGTCAAATCCATTTCAGATATCTAAGGCAACAGCCTGGACTTCACTATTCTTATTTAAATTTTGATATACTCTTTCAGCAATAATCGTTAATACATTGCCTGTTGACTTAGAGAAGCAAAAACCATATTGCTTATCTGAAAAAACATTGTGATGTAAGATGCTTAACCAATTCAGTGTTGATTAGAGCATCTAGTACTACTTTGCCAAAAAAGTGGTAAAAGGACATTAGGCCAGTAGTTAGAAGGAGGGATGCACAGTGTAATGGATAGCGGTTCGGATTGAGAAATCGGAGAGCCGAGTTCGAATTCCAGTCGAATCCATTGCATTCACTTATGTTATAATAACCTTGGGAAAAGTATAAATCCTCTTCTCCCTACCAGCTATGGGTAAATAGCATGGCAGACCGCGTTCTGGTCTACCGCAGAAAGAAATGACAAAATACTGCGGGAACAATCGAAAGATACATGATCGCCTAAGCGTGTATCACGCATGGCACATAACTGACCGCAGAAGGATCAGACGGTTCGGCTGGGTTTTCATTATTTACCTTTTTATACTATTGTTCACTCAACCCAAAGTCAAAGAGCCACCCAAGGTAGAGTGTTACTGAATGAATTTATTGTATGGACATAAGGATGAAAAAAGTTCATATTATGAGGATATGTAGGATGGATAACAATTAACTCTAGACTTGAAGAGGTTAAGACCATAGTGATGAAGGAAGTATCTTCTAGGGTGTCCGTTTCGAAATACCACCGTTCTGCGTAAGTAACTGAACTTCCTTCTTACTGTTGTAGCATATCTACGGACGATAATGGGTATGCCCCCATTCCCATAAATACAGTAGTGAATACTGTATGTTGGTCTGCAGTTGGAGATTCGTCTCCAGCTGTACCGGTCAAACTCTCTGCCACCATGCAGAGAGGATCTCTAGACGAGACTATGTCGAAAGAGAGTTTCGTCTCGGAAAACAGCTACCCGACCCCGTTTATAGGGAGTCTATGGGGAATTTTTGGCCTGGCCTACAAGCTCGGATATCCCACATTAAATTCAGCCTTGTCTCACATTTGACCGTGTGGGGTGGTTGGTAGATATCCTAGAGTTGGAGATTCGTCTCCAGCTGTGCTGGTCAAACCTTCTGCCTCCGGACAGAGAGGATCTCCTGGCGAAGCGATGTCGAAGGGCAGAGTCTCATCTCGGGAAACAGCTACCGGACCCCATTTTATACGGGGTCTACGGAGAATTTTTGGCCGGGCCAACGTGGGTCGGTTGTTAGATACCCTGGAATAGGAGATTCACTGTGGAATTCACTTGACTCACTTCTAGCATCTGTCTATATTTCTGAGATGAGGTATTATGTACACTATTTACATTATTCGGAATATCCTCATCTTTGTTACCATATTTATCACAACGTTTCGGCTGTTGTACGCTCCGGCCTTCTTCAGGTGGTTGGAATGTCTAACTGCACCATTTATTTCGCTCGCTGGGGTAGACTGTTTTAGTTTCACGTGCCATGTCTAATGGATGTCAGTTATATCCTGTTAATTCACCTCTCAAAGTTCTCCACTGCCTTAACCATGTATTGAACTCACAACTTTTTGGGTCCTGTCAGTGGATCTAACCAACGCTTTTATCCACTGTACCATGTGTCATTAACGGCCGAAACGTTGTGATACATATGGCAACGAAGATTAGTTGAATAGTTCGAATAATGTCTTCTAGTAGTTGACTACTACTTCTACGCACCACTGGCGAATCTTATATGTGTTGTTCTTGTCCTAAGTATGATTGTTCATTATCAACCTTCGCTTGATTATTCTATTTAGTAACCTTCCCTAGGTTACAACACTTACTAAAGGAATACGAAGGGAATGATGGTGAGTAGACACTGGCGGATTGTAGCTATAATGGTCTGAGTTGGTGGAACTAATGAATGCTGCTCGTCAGACCATTTGCATTGAACGTAGCGATAGATTAGTGAGAGGTTAGCAACATTTCGTTTGTGGGAAAGGGGTTGTAGGGTGGAAAATAATTCATCACCCCAAAGGTCACCGAACGCTTTTGAACTATCAAGTGAGGATTGGGAGAGATTGGTTCCAGATCTGTCTGCAATGCTTTATTCTTTATTAGGCTACTTATTTTTGCTGGTCGTTAAAGGATGACGACAAAGTATTATTGTGATAAAAAAAGTGATCAATAAGATTATAGATAATTAAGTGTTTCCTCTCGGAATTCAAATGATTTACCCACAA